CCTTCCTTCTCTTCCCCGAAGGCGCAGGGATCCCCGCCTCAGGGATTTTGCAGGTGCGCTTCCTTCTCCCCGCAGCTCTTCCAGCCAGGTCGGTGGCTCCCAGCTCGGCTCCACGAAGTCCAGACGCCCGAGCCCCAGTTCAGAGCCTGGCGCCTTATTCTGGTGGCGTCCGGGCAGTAAACTGGGTTTTTTAAAATCTTCCCAGGTGCTTCTAATGCTCAGCCGGCGTTAAGAATCGCTGCCCAAGGTGTCCCGGCTCGGTCCCACATCCTCAGGTTGCAGCTCACAGGTCAGCCCCTCGAGAGGCGTCCCCACCACAGCATCCACCTGCCCCCCACCCTCTTTATTTAGTGCACCGCATGCTCAGTGAGGACGCGGCGCGCCTGCTTTGTTCGCCACCGCGCCCCGGCGCTTGGCTCCCACGGACGGCGCAGGAAACAGCCGTCTGCGAATGAACGATGCTGGTCCACACGCTCGCGGTCCCCCGTGGTCCAGCTGTCCCCGCCAGCCGCAGTTCCGCCCATGGCCACCAGGCGGCGAGAGTGCCGGCGCGTGCAAAGGTCGTCCCCTGGCGGTCGGAGCGGTGCTTGTCCCCGGCCTGGCCGTCGCTGAGAGGAAGGAGCGAGGGCCGCAGCAGCTTGTGCCAGGGTCGCCAGGCCCCAGCGTGTCTCCCTCTGCGGCTCCTCATGCATAGACTCAGAGTCATCGGGCGTCTACACTCCACCCAAACTGCACCCCTGAGCCCTTCCCCTCTCACTTGGCCGCCCACGGACCGCCTGGCGCGGCGCTGTGGGCGTGGCTCCGCGGCACTCGCGCCGGGACAGGTGCGCAGGGCGCGAGGCAGGCCACCCGCCGCAGCCAGTGTTTGGTGGAGGACATGAATGTCCACCAGTTGGGGACTGGCCACATGCGTTATCACCTGCCCACGTAACACATACAGCGCACCCATAAAGAGGAATGAAGATGCTCTTGAACTGTACCAATATGGAACGATACTCGAGGCTTCGGACAAGTTACAAAGGGAGGGCCAGGCAGAGGAGTGTGTACCAAATGCTGCCGTTTATGCAGACAAAGTGGGGAGTGTCTCTCTGCATTTGTTTTTGTAAATGCAGAGACTCTTCCTGCGGATGTGCAGGAAGGGAGCTCGGAGGAGACCAGGGTGGCTGGGAGAGAGGGACTTTGTACAGTGGGCCCTTTCCTATCATCTTTAAATCTGAGTCGCGTGACTGCATTACAAAGTTGAATAAATAGTAAAACGGAAATTCAGCATTTAAAAACAAATAACCATTTCCGTACCTCCGAGTAAGCCAGCCACTTCCTTGGATGTCTTTCTTCTATGGGAGGCTGGGAGGTACGGGGACACCTCCAGGTGAGGAAGGCTCAGGGGCTGACCTGTACAACGCTGCCCACGCCGTAGGAGCCGTGTGACCTTCGTCAGCCCTGCCAAGTCCTGGAAGTCCTCCCGCGCACAGCTCACATTCGAGTTGGACACACACACACAGAGGAAATAAAGTCGCCTGGAAACTTTGCTCGGGGATATGAAGAGAACTGACAAGATGCAGAGGACAGGAGGGGCAAGTGGGTGAGTGGCTACTTCAGGGGTGACATCTGAAAGACAGCCTGAAGAATAAGGTGCCAGCCACAGAAGGGGGTGTCAGGCTGAGGGAGCAGAGAGCGCAGAAGCAGAAAGAGGCAAGAAAGGCATGGCTCGCCGGAGCTGAAAGAAGACAGTGGGGTGACCGCGTCTCTCCCCAGGCTGGTCTCCAGGATAAAATGCAACAACAGAGGGAAGGTGCACAGGCATGCCCAAGAAAGGGATGCTAACAATTTCTTTCACTTAAAAAATGACAAATAGGCCGGCGCGGTGGCTCACACCTGTAATCCTAGCTCTCTGGGAGGCAGATTGTTTGAGCTCAGGAGTTCGAAACCAGCCTGAGCAAGAGCGAGACCCCGTCTCTACTAAAAATAGAAAGAAATTAATTGGACAACTAAAAATATATAGAAAAAATTAGCCGGGCATGGTGGCGCATGCCTGTAGTCCCAGCTACTCGGGAGGCTGAGGCAGGAGGATCGCTTGAGCCCAGGAGTTTGAGGTTGCTGTGAGCTAGGATGACGCCACGGCACTCCAGCCCGGGCAACACAGTGAAACTCTGTCTCAAAAAAAAAAAAAAAAAAAAAAAAAAAAAAAAAAAGCCTTATCTACTGGAAAGAACACTTAAGTCTGAGTCAAAATAGAATCTTTCACTAGCTCTGTGGTCTTGAGCCAGTCACTTCTTGGTCCTGTCTCTACAGCAGCCAGTGGGAGATCACAACTAGTCCCATCTCAGGGGGACAATCAGCCCTTTCTGGGTTGGTTCACTCCCTAAGATCAAGGGGAAATCACAGTCTGCCATGTGAGCGTCACCGACCACTGACCCTGGAACAAGCGGGACCCTCTCCAACTCACTCACTCCCTGAAGCCGCGCTGGCCTTCCTGTTGCTCAGCATGTCAAGCTCACACGTACCCCAAGGCCTTTGCACTTGCTGGTCCCTCTGTCTGGGACACTCATCTACGTTTTATTTTTCCACAGAAAGCTACCCATTCAGCCCAAATGCCCCCTCCCAAAAGAGGCCTCTGTGTGGTCTCAGAGTGGTCACCTGCACCTCTCGGTTCTGCTCTAATCCACCTCCACTTTGTCCCTTTACAGCACCGGTCGGCCAGTGGCCAGTGGCCTGAATCCAGCCCATCCCCTGCTTTTGCAAGGCCTTGAGCTGAGAAGACTGTTTACATTTTCAGATGATTGGAAAAAAACCAAAAGAATCATTTCGGGACACAAGGACTGAAATTCAAATTGCAGGGACTGTAAAACCTTACCGAACTCGACCGCGCCCTCTCATGTGCCCTCCACGGCCGGGTTCGCGCCACAGCAGCCGGGCCGGGCAGTCGAGACAGAGACGGTATCGCCCGCAAAGTCCTGTTTCCTCTGGCCGTCAGTGGAGTTCGCGGACCTCCACCTTCATGACATTGATCCATTTGGTAATCTTTTTCACGTTGTTTTTAAATTCGTAGATGGTCTGTCTTCTGTGAAGACTGTATAAGGCCCACCGAGGCAGGGCTCCCCGGCCTTTGCTCACCACCCTTCCCCAGTAGCTGACATGGTGCTTGGCACATGCTAGGTCCCCTGTAAATACCTGACGTCACCCCCAGTAGGATGCAAGCTCGAGGAGGGCAGGGACCGGATCCCTGGACGTCACCACGGTATCCTCAGTGCCGCGACAGCGCCCGACACAACGTGTGCCGTCCGATCATCTGGAAGAACTTACACTCGTGCTCCCAAACGCCCTTGTGGGCCCTGTCTTGGCCTCGTCAGGAAGGTGCTGGCGGGGCAGATCTCTTCTAGGAAACTACTGGATTTCAGAGAAAAAGGGCACCGCGCCCTAAGAAAGCAAAGCTCAGACTTCCAAGACTGCTTCACTCTCCTCACGCCCAGGGCGCCTTCCCCAGGCCCAGACCCGTGGATCAGGGCACCGGGTGGTGCCAGGATCACTGCTGCCCACACACAGCCTGTTAGCCCGGCCCGTCTTGGCCTCAGAAAGACAACTCCTCCCCTCCCACTGCTGTTCCGCGACCGGCCCAGGAGGCGCCAGCCAGGGGCCGTCATCGCTAACATGCCCACCACCTGGAGGGCGTTCTGAGCCTCTCCGGGTCCCCTCTGCTGTGTTTGGTTCTGTAACCTGACAAAGCCATCCGGACCAAATGGAAAACTGCAAATTCGAGGACGACCAAGGCATTTTTCCAAAACAGTTTAATTAAAAAAAGGTGAAGGATCTGAAAAAATTGGTGGGGGGGGACCCAAAAGAGCATACCGTGCGAGTCCACTGGCTCAGTCACAAAGAAACACCACCATCAAAAAGATATTTAAGTTTAATACAAATTTTATACAAAGAAAATGTGAAAAAATACTTCCATATGCTAAAAGCAATTATGCTTCACAAGTAAGGCCAGCTAGGCTATTTTTTTTTTTTTTGACAACTGCAATTCACAAATGTTCTCTCTCCTTTTTTCTTCTAATACTCTCTTCTTATTTCTTCTCTAATATGGTAACTAGCTGGAAACTGTACAGTTCGCATCCTCTTATCAACAATGAAGAGAAAGTAAACGAGACTAAAATGTACAACAGAATGTACTGGAATGATATCGTACAATTAATTTTCTCATATACATACATCACTTTTTGCTTTGATCAATGCTTTTTGTTTTACACAACATACAAAATGGTCCTACAGCACACGTAGTGTCACAGACAGCATGACCGGTCTTGCTTTCTCTCATACTGCCTTTGTTTCATGCTTACATAAAAATGTAAAATTCCATCATATAAATAATACATACATGCTTCATCCCAGACTCGAGCGTCCTCTGCGTGCACCTTGCCTTGGAGTTCTTGCTGCCGAGAAGCACAGCGTCTCTTGCCAAGCGTGTGTGAGTGTGTTTAAAGGAATCACAAAGCAAAGGAAAGATTGCTCTTTGTTTCAGAGTTTATGACCCTAACGCTTTCTACGATCTTCTCTTCTGCAACCGAGCTGGGCAGGGCTTCTTTCTGCTTCTCTTCTGTAAACAAGGACGTTGGTTTTTTCCCTTTGAGGAGTAGTCATCATTTAAATGACACAAAATAAATGAGCTTCTCCGTGTGTCCTTCCAGTCCGGAGAGCCTGTGTTTTATAACAACATAGTACTTGAAAGGAGCCAGTGGCTTGATGGGACATGCCCACAGCAGCACGGAGTCTGAGCCCAAACCCCACATCCCAGCGTGCTGCGCACCGACATGCACGTGCCAACAGCTCGCTTTCCCCTGGGAATCCAAGGAAGAGGACACGTGTGAGATGGCAGTGCCCAGGCCCAGTCTCCATTCTGCTGTGTGGCCGACAGGCTAACAGACCATCCCTTCCCTCCAACATCAAAACATTCTTTTTGTTGTTGGGGTGGTTTTTTTTTAATGGTTTTTCTTTTTTTTTTTTTTATAAGTTAAAGTCAATACAAATATAAAAGGGGGAAGGTACTCTAGGTTTAGTGACATCCACAAATTGTACATTATTTACATCGCGAGCACAGAGCTCACGTGTGTTGAACAGTCCTCAGTCAGGCTGATGCCGGACGTCCTGTAGTGTGGGCTGCCCCTTGTGCCGGGGGCACAGGCCAAGCCTGAATGTTCAGAATTCTCAAGTCTGAAGGTGGCTGTTCTCCTGTCTTTGCTGTTTCTTATTTTCCTGGTGTCTGGGTGTTCTCCCCATAGGGTAGGCAGTTTGGGTCACAATTTGCCCCTAGTCCCAGAAGGTGTCCAGCCGAGACTCTTTCGGCAAGAGACTCTTGGTACTACTGGTGTTGTGCTCGGAACGTGCCGACGCTCGCTTCTCATCGCTGCTGCTCCAGCTGGATTTGCTACTCCGGGAATGGTCTGGGGAAGAAAGCCGACACGGTTAGCAGCCCCCCCACCTGCACCTAAGAAACCACCCTGCAATTTGATCCGCACCTGCCATCTGGGAAGCCACCTTGCCCTCCCCGCACTCCACACAGCACTAACGGTTAAAATGCTGCCACCACTGACTTCCCTAAACCTGTGGGTGTGTAGAATACAAAGGCAGAACTTATTTTTTAGGATTCAGCAACAGCTGGTTGGAAAAACAGTCGGGCATCATGCTCACAGAGAATAAAGATTAGTGGGAAAGGTACTAAATTGCCAAGGAAGGCATTTCTTGTGCCACACCCGGAACCGTGTACCCTTGTTACACCACTGAATGACACCAAGCACCCCATGCACCCTGCGTCCAACCTCGGCCACTGGAGAAAGGCACCAAAATTTGGCATGCAACTAGTTACATTAAAGGGATTTCTTTTATCCATTGATAGGCAACTTGAAAAACAGACTTATAACCAAACCACACTTGTCCACCCACGGGAGAGGATCATGAAAGAGAAGAACAGTTAAGTCTCCTGGGAACAGGGACCCGCTGGCTCCTAGTAAGGACAAGCTTAAGGGTCACTGAAGGATGCGGAACCAGAGTAAGACCTAGGATGGCTTCAAGGACATACGTACAAGGAGCTTAGCAGTGACTGAGTAAGAAACGAGAAAGGAGAAGGAAGAGCCCAACGAGGTGTCTGTTAAGAGCACTTTATCCAACAGGCCAGGTCTGCAGGCTCCGCCGACGGCCGACTATGAGAGACCTGTCAGCCAACCACCAAGATCCCATCCTGTCGTAGATCGTTTACCAAGTTCAGACAGATTGGGACAGAATTTCTCGTCTTAATTTCTTGAGGTGGTGTAATACTGTTTGGCTGTAAGAAGCCGAGTGCCAAGCTCAGAGACAGAACTGGGGTGGGCGAGAAAGGGAGCATCCTCTTGCCTGGGGGGCTGCCCTGCTCACTGCCTGCTAAAAATGGCACCTGTGTGTTTCATCATGAGTTCTATTTCTGGAAGGTAAGTAATGAAGAGAACGTCAAAGATCTCCAGAGTCACGTGTTCACTCAGGAGAGACCTCGTTTTAGTCCCTTGCATCCATGACCCAAAGGGGGCAGTATCATGGCGGGGAGAGCTGGCTACAAGGGCTGAGTCTTCTGAACAATACCGAATCCACCTCCTCTTAGGCCTTCTTCCCTACCTGCCGTGCCTACACTTCTAGCTCTTTTAGACGGTCTTTGGGAAGTGATGCAGTTGGTCATCACCATACATGAGAAAATCCTACGATGATGTCGTCAAACTACATCAAATCCTTCCAGCTCAGGTGAGGGCAGAGACGAGCTGGGGGTACCAGAAGGAAGGGGAGCAGGGTGCAGCCCGGGACCGTGTCTCTACCACAGAGCCAGGCTGGCCAGTGAGGGGTCTGCGGGGCCAAGCTCCTCACACAGCCAGGACACAGGGCACTGGCTGATGGGGCGATCACAGCAGGAGGGGACTGGTGTTAATCTAGGACCCTTTAAAGAAAGAGTGAGGAAGATCCCCTCAGGAAGCCAAACCATGTGCTTTCTCTCATTTCCTAGTGCGGTTTGCGATGGACACCAGAGGCACAGCTAAGAAGAACGCTGCAAAGCAAAGTGAGACCCATCACTCAAAAGAACAGTCGAAGACACACCCACAAAGAAAAACACACACAGACACACACAAAACAAGCCTCTGCATGCCAGGAATCGCTCCCTGGCAGCTTCCGTGAGACAGGGTCATACTTACACTTCTGGGCTGGGTAGTTGGGGTGCGGCTGGTGGTCTGTGGTGGTTGGGGCATAGGCAGGTTGCTTGTCACACCTTTTGCTAACTGAAGAAATAGCACAGGCAGCCTCAGAGTCTGTCAGAGAGCTCGGATTCCGCACAACCCCAAGTGCTCACTACTTTTGTTCATCGTCAACAGGCCGCTCTTATTAGAACCGGCTGGCTCCTTGCTTCACGTCACCATTCTCCAACTTAACGCAATCGCGGCAGACTATGACTCTTTATAAAGGCGTATCAAACCACGGACAGGGTCACTGGACACGGCACAGCATTACAGGCAGGAAATAAGGTATACAATGACATAAAAGCAACTCGGCACTCCGTAAGCCACAAATTCTCGGGATTTTGAAAGCAAAGTTCTCAGAGCCACTAGCTCTGCCAATAGCCCCATTCAACCGGGAAAAAGAGAGGCAGGCACTGGAAGCACAAGGTTTCCAGAGAGCTCAGGACAAGCAATAACTCGAATACTGCCAAGGGTGGTGACAGAAGAGGGAGGAGAGGGTGGAGGAGGCAGTTGTGGTGAGGAGGACTGAGGAAAGGGCTAGACAGAGCAGCAAGGAGCCTAAATCTTCAGTGACAATGGTAGAATACCAACAAACACATCCAAAATCGAAGCATCAAAAAACAGTGTTATGAAAGGAGTTTCCGTAAAATAACTGATATGGTGAGAAGTTTGGTAGGGGAAAAAATCGAAAATAAGATAAAGGAAAATAGAAACTCCAGGAAAAAAGTGAGGCTGTCCAAGAATGGAAATGTCATCGTAGTACACTATGTGACTCCGCCATGAATGGTATGGTCGTAATAATGTAAATAGGGGTTGTTTTACTTCAAGTTTTTAGACTCAGATGACAGACGAGTGAGGCTTAACTGCAGTCACAGAACTGAATGCAGATGTTCTCTACCTTAGTAATGGGAAAGTAACAGAGCGGGGGGAAGCCTGGATATGGCAGGGGTAGGAGAGGTGAAGGAGGAGATCGGCTGCCACGAGAGGGGTCAAGAGATACTGTCTGTGGCTGACAGAACAAGAACTAAGGATTAGGTAAGTGTTTCATTTGACTAAGGTAACCCACACAGCATATAACACAGTAGCCTAAGCAATTTGGGAGGAGGAAAAGAGAAGCTCCTTGTGACCTCAACTCTCATCTTTTAAAGCTGGAAGTCAACAAATAATGTCTAAAATTAAGAAACAGAGGTACAAAAAAAAGCATATTATTTATAAACAAGGAGGTAAGTACCAGAAGGACCAGAAACAGCGGTAGAAACGGGACTTGGAAGAGTTTTCCTCTGAATTATCTTCTGTAGCTTTATGCGTGTATTGCTTTAATTAAAATCTTAAAATGAAAAGACAAACAGGAGAGGCCTAGGCCCACATACTGAGGGAGGGCACACCCCTCCTACAACTTTCTCCTTCCAACTCACTCCTAACTGACCATCCTGGTACCAGATGCATGTCAACAGCCCAGAAACCTCCATGTGTTTAAAGGCTACCTTCCTCCACCACATGCCAGCAGCGCTGTCACAGAAAGTGAGTGAAGTCAGACAATCAGAAGGGGACTGAAAATGAGTAGGTCTTTCTGCTTTGACACAATCCATCAGCGCAAACTGCTTTGGTAAAAAAACAGGGAAAACAGAGGAGCCCTAAGATTGCACTCCACACAAGCCCCTGTGGATGGGCCCCCACCCACTTCTCGTGCTCACGCTCTCGGGAATCGCTGCAGCAATGACTCACGACACTCTTCTCCCTTCAGTTACTCACAATGAGCTCACGGTGCTCACACGTGGCTGATGTGACCCTGCCCACCCTCTTCCCAAGTCCTAAATGTGGGACTAAATCTAAGTGTAGTCCTGGATCTACCTCAATCTCTACCCAAAACCTGGAGAGAAGGCCCTTTCTGACATGAAAATCCCATGACTGTAGCCAATCTGGTCTTCTTTTAAGAAAAGGTCTTTGTTGCCAGGCATGGTGGTGCACACCTGTAGTCCCAGCTACTCGGGAGGCTAAGGCGGGAGGATGGCATGAGCCTAGGAGTTGAAGGCCAGCTTGGGCAATGCAGCAAAACCCTATCTTTTAAAAACAAAAACAGGAAGAAAAGGTCTCAAAACAACATTCAGAATGAAAAATGTCCATGCCTGTTCATGGCTGAGGAGTCAGTGGTGACCATGGTGAAAATCGGGTGGAATATCGGAATAGAAACCGTATCATATGAGCTGAGAGGTGCTGAGCAGCATGTGAGAAGGGGAAGTGGAGGCAGGATGGAGTGACAACTCTTTTTTTTTAAAAGAGATGACGTCTGTGTTGCCTAAGCGGCAGTGTAGTGGCTATTCACAGGAGTGATCAAAGCTCACCGTAGCCTCGAACTCCCGGGCTCAAGCGATCCTCCTGCCTCAGCCTCTGGAGTAGCTGGGACTAGAGGCGCCAGCCACCAAGCCCAGCTCTAGAATGACAACTCTTAAAAAGACATCTAAGTGGACCGAGGGAGGAGACAGGGCAGGTTTTAGGTTGTGCTAATAGCCATGTGTTGCTATTAATGTTTATATTTCAATTAAGTATAAATTATTTAGTATTTAAATTAAGTAAAATAAAATACAATGTTAAAAATTCCTTTCCTCAGTCACACTAGCCACAGTTCAAGGGCTCAACAGCCACACGTGGCTAGTGGCTACCACGGTGGACAGTGCAGATATAAAAACACGGCCACCACTGCAAAGCAATCTACGAGAGACACAGGGTGTTCCACAAGGCACCGGGACACAGATAAGATAAGGAAAAAGCAGCTGAGAGAGAAACCTGGTTCAAAGGACAGGAAAGGACAGACAGGTGCAGATGCGGGCAGGTGTGAATGATGGAAAGGGAGAAGGGCGTGCCGCTGGAGCTCTGCTGACAGCAGACGTGTGGCTGTGTGGTCACACGGATGGCGGAGCAGAAAGAGAAAGGAGGCCCAAAACGGCGCTGAGAACTGGAAATCACCATTGTGGAATCTGATCGCAGATAAGAATCTTTGCTTCTGAGGTTAGTAATCACGGGGTGTGTGTGTGTGTGTGTGTGTGTGTGTGTGTGTGTGTGTGTGTGTGTGTGTGTGTGTGTGTGTGTGTGATGGGTCGAGTGTGTGTTCCTGTGTAAATCCTCCAGCTGAGCTCTGAGGCTTGTGTGCAGGTGAGTAAATCACGGGGTTTTGCGCAATGGTTATGTTGAGAACACGGGAAGGTGTGGGAGACTGGGTTGCCTTAGCAAGGGTACCCACGTGGAAATGAGCTATGCAAAAGTGCCATTATTCAACCATTTCCTACTTACAAAGACAGTGATTTTATATGGATCCACCTAAGTATAGCATGAGTCTGGAGAGATCTGGACTTAAGTCCTGCCCCAACACCCACTCACTGAGTTACCTGGGCATCTGAGTCAACTTCCCTGGGCCTAGACTTCCTCATAGGCTCAGTGGAAATGGTAGCTGTTCTCACAGACGCTGGGAATAGATGTGATGTGGTGAGTCAGTGCTTCCCACTCTCCAATAGGCACGCTCCTGACTCCCTTCGCAGCTCCGTGAAGACAGTCTATCTGCCTTGTTAGATAAAGTCCCTCTTCCTCCTCCTGCAGTGCCTCCTCCCTCCCCCACCCCGCCTACAGGTCGCCAGCACCTACCGAGGTTTCCTACCTCCTCTCTCAATCTCAACCTGCCTCTCCACTCCCTCAGACACAGCGAGCTTTAGGTCAACAGTCAGCACATTCCGGCCAACCCAATGTCTGTTTCTGCAACTCCAGTGTGCCTGGCACACAGCCACACTTATTTACGTATCATCTATGCCTGCTTTCGTGCCACAACAGCAGAGTGAGCGTCTGTGACAGAGACCACGCGGAGACATGTGCTATCTGCACCTTTACAAAGCAAGCTTGCCGGCCGGGCACAGTGGCTCAGGCCTGTAACCCTAGCACTAGGGGAGGCCAAGGGAGGAGGATCGCTTGAGGCCAGCAGTTCGAGACCAGCCTGAGTAAGAGCAATACCTAGTCTCTACAAAAAATAAAAAATTAGCAATGCGTGGTGATGCACACCTGTAATCCTGGCTACTCAGGAGGCTGAGGCAGGAGGATCACTTGAGCCCAGGAGTTTGAGGTTGCTGTGAGCTATGGTGACGCCACTGCATTCTAGCCCAGGTGTCAGAGCCAGACCCCGTCTCAAAAATTTTTTTTTAATTTAAAAAAATAAAAATAATAAGTTTGCCAACCCCTGGTCTAGGTAATACCTCACTTACCTCAGCATCTCCTGACTACTTCCTGCACGCAATACTCCTTATTCCAGCAGACTCCCGTTAGGTTACTAACACCATGGCATTATAAATCAGACCAAATGCCACGTCAGTCGAACCACTCTGTGGCTGCAAAACATCAGCAGCGCCCCTTTGTCTGGAACAGTGGCCTTCCTCATCCCACCCTGGCAAGCTTGACACATCCCCAATCCTCCTACACACTGCTTAGTTCACATTTTTAATTTTATTTGCTTAAGTAAATAAAGAGACTTTCATTATCACACCAAGAAGTATTAAATAGAAAAATCAATAAAACTTGCTGTAAGTTGCAGGCAAACTTGACAAATAGACATTAATGAAAATCAAATTGTACTGTTACATCCTAGGGTGACAGCAGGCTGCTAAAATCTAAGGTCTGCTCTGTCTTTGTTAAAAAGAGAACCGGAAAATATGAGAGATGCTAAAGACATCTTAGCACTAAGCTGAGCCTGTCCTCAGAGACTTAATCCGAGGACTGAAGGGAAAGTGAAAAGAAGTTGCTTTTCCAAGAGGTGGTTTGATCGTACGTACTGCCAAGTTCCTGTGCTCCCTCCAGTCAACACCGACTACTCCAAATCCACCACCTCCCAGGCCTACCCCCTCGGGAAACCTTCCCCGGACACCCATCCACGGACGTCACTTCCTCCACACACTCAACACACGGAGGCGAAGTTCGGTGTTTGATTTTCAGCTTAAGAGAGTCATGTGGCGGAGACCCTGGCGCGGCAGTGCCAGGCAAGGACCTTGAACAAAGCAGAACCGTCCCCCACCAGGAGGTTTAGGAGAGTGCAGGAAAAAGACCTCTTGAGCCAGGAGGGGAAGACAGCTCAAAACCCGCAGAAGAAAAGCTCTAGAAGTCTCAGAAAATTCCCCCAATCAGCCTGACAAGTTATTCCCCAAAAGGACAGGTTTGCACAGAAAGACCATCCACCCACACATTTTCTTCATTCCCCAAGGCTCGCGCGCCCGCACCCACAAGCGCAGGTGTGGAGGCCTCGGAGCAGATCCACACGGCTGCGTTTTCTGCGCTCACTTCCCCAAGGGCAAAAGGACTGCCCAGCGCAAAGACGCATCTTCCCCCCCTCCCCCCCGCCCGGGTCAGCAACAGAGCCCTCCGTCCAAAGGAAGGGTATGTGGATCCCCAACAGATACAACAAATACAGGTAAATACTGACCAGTTTGGAAACGTGCTTGAAAGTTAACTTGCCCAGAGACACCCTCACCCCCCACTGACCCTCCCCCAAGGCACCCCGAGGATCTGTAAGTCCCTCAAGTTCTCCCTGACCAAACCGCTCCCCATCTGCCCATGTGACATGGGAAAGCACCACTGGCCCACCAGGGGGCAACATACCAGAGCCTTGGTTGGAGCCTAAGAGCATGGAGGAGGGCGTCTCTCTGGAGCCAGAAAGGTCGAGGGTCTAGAAACACAAAAAGGAAAGCAATGGACTTGGGACACTGGGCCAGTGCAGCCCCTCAGGGAAATCCCGGGAGCCATGTTGTGCTCACTGCTGCTCCCAAGGCGTGCTCTGCTGTCTCCCAGATGGAACAGGCTAGAACCGGGGTGGCCCCTTACCCGACCGTAGAACATTCATTTTCCAAACTCCACTCACTAACCTACCCATCCCCCAGATTTCTGCCATATCCAAGAAGGAAGTATATTACCTCAAAATTATATCAATTCGACCTTATTTCATGGCAGCCTCTGACTAGGCAACACTCTCAGTGAAATTTAAGCTTTTTAACTAATAGTCTAATGATTTATTTTTTCCTAATACATATTGAAATAAATATACAATGACTAAAAATATAAGAGACTATGAATGTGCCCCCTAAAATAATCTTTAAACAAAGGGGGTGCAAAGCTTCATGGTCCAATATGGCTGCCACTGGCCACATGTGGCTACTTAAATCTAAAGTAATTCAAATTAAAGTTAAAAATCAGGTCCTCGGTCACACTAGCCACGTTTCAAGTGCTCAAAAGTTACATGTGGCTAGTGGCTACCACATTGGACAGGGGAGATACAGAACATTTCCATCATCGCAGAAAGTTCTAGTAGGCAACACCGTTCTAAACTTGGAGGGACTGCGGCGCAGATGCCATGTCCCCCACATGCCAACTCAGGCTCCATGTTCCCGCGCGTCCACTGAAGATCCTGGTACACGGGTGGGAACGAGCTCTAGTGAGACGCTGGCATCCCCCACAGACGAACCTCCTACAACATGGAACCCTCAGGGGTGGCAGTCATGGGGAAGGGTCTTAAGTCTCTGCTTGGCACAAAGGGTTGCTGTCACCCGCCAAAGGTGTGGGGGATCCTCACCGAGCCACTGTCCTTGCTTTTCTCAGCTGACGTCTCCTTCTCTTTCGAGGCGCTGGCTGTTTCCGAAGGCGCAGACTGGGTGCTAGAGGAGCTGCCCTGGGAAGACTTGTTCACTGTTTCCGTGTTCACCTCGGTATCCGCTTCCTGCTGAGGGGCGGTCGCTGGGGACGAAGGGGAAGAAGCCACGTGTAAGCCCAGCATGGAGGTTTCAGGACCTGCGTGGAGACCCTCCCTGCACCCCAAGGCGCCCACCGCTCAGCAGCAACTCTGACCCAGCCAGGATCCATCAGGGAGGCAGCGGTGGCTCAGCCCCACCCAGCGCACGAGCGCAAACCCAAAGTGGCCCGATCCCCAGAGTGTGCCAGAAGCTGGAATTCCAAATTTTATGTGAAGATGTTGATTCTTCTAATGGTTAGCAATTCAAGTTTTATTAAATCATTCTGGAGATGAGAGTACGTCCTCCAAACAAATAAAGTCCATCAACAAGAGCCAACCTGGAATGGCCAATTTAAAATTACTCTATTTCATAATTTCTAGATGTAAACCTATTCTAGCCCCAGGGACTTGCGTCCTCTGAGGCAGGACGGGGAAATCCAACGTGCTGTGGGAGCCACGGAGCACCTGGAGATGGCAGAAACTTGGACAAATAGAAAAACAGGGTGTTTGTGAAGAATTTCAGAACAAAGAACATAATTATGCCACAAAGGAAGGAAAGCTGAAGGACATTTTGGCTATCTTGCAATAACAGCAAAAGGCTGATCTGACACATTCCAGAACTCAGGCAAAACACAAGGGGAATGTAACTCCACAGTAAGAGATTTAAAGTCTCTATAAAGAAGACATCTCCCTAAAGAAAGTTAAAGAACACGGCAACGTATGTCCAATATCACCTTCTTAAAAAAATAGCAAGATAACAGAAGATTTGTCTAGAGCAGGAGTGGGCAAGCTAGTGTCCCCTGTTTTTGTAAATAAAGTTTTATTGGCACACAGCCATGCCCACCCATTTACATATTATCTATGGCTGCTTTTGCACTATAACAGCAGAGCTGAGTAGTTGCCAGAGACCACATGGTCCACAAAGCCTAAAATATTTATTCTAGCCCTTCACAGAAAAAGTTTGCCAACCCCTGGTCCAAAGCTTCTCATACTTGAGTTGTTCATACATCACCTTCGAAAGTTTTGCCAGTCCACAGACATACTAGCTTGTCGTGTTATCTAACACTTTAAAATTCTTTCAAATGGAGACTTAATTCTAATCATGTAAAGTATCATTTGCCACAAATAAAAGCTGACTATAAAAATTAACTTTTAAAGTATTATTGATAAATACTAACTAGATAGTGCTTCCTGCTGGGGCCTGCCCACTCTGTGTTATAAAGGGAGACTATAAATATTCCAGCAATGTCAGTGACATTTTTTCCCTAACGTAAAGATTGGTAATCCGTGCTATTCAGAGCCGTGAGTCTATTATTGTCAAAAAAACAGAGTTTCTCACCTTTAGTAACTACTGACATTTCAGGCCAGATCATTCTTTCTTTTTTTGGTGGGGGAGGGGATGAAGGGGGGCAGGGGATATTTTCCTATGTGTTGTAGGATGTTTTAAGAGCATCCATGGCCTAAGAGATCAAAGGTTATGCAAAGAAGATCAGAGGCTCAAAATAGCCATGCCTATGTCTCAGCTATGTGTCTGCACCCTGCTCGCTTATGCATAAGAGACACAGTTGTTTGCAAGTAAGAGTGGCCAGGGGCCAGGCAAGCCACCCTTGCTGCATCAGCCCTGAGGACAGCCCCCGGGGTGTTACCTGACTGGGTGCAGGACTTCATATGCTCAGGCCAGTGGGCCTGCTGGCAGGGGTAGTCGCAGTAGCTGGTGTTCCAGCAGCAGTAAAAGATGGCCTCCTTCTTGCAGTTGGCACACCACTGCTTCTTCTTGGTCTCGTCCACCGCCTGCTGCTTCTCCAGCTCCAGCTGCTTCTTCACCTCGGCGATAAGCCGGTCCCGCTCCTGCTCCAGGCTCTGCCGCATCTCCGCCATGGTCAGCTCTGCGGGCGAGGGGACACTGCTGCCTCACCTGACCCCAGCCCAGCCTGCAGGGCAATTGGTGCACCCAGACGCAGGTGGACGTGTGTGTGAGCTCCCGCCTAGAGAAGCCCCGGCTGTGTGACCCTGGGCAAGTGCCCTAGCCCACGTCTTCTTCTGTAAACAGGGCACCGTCACAGCGCCCAGATGGCGCTGCTGCTGATAATGTGCGTGAGGTGCCCAGCACAGAGATAGCCAGAGCTTCACAGGGATTCTAAATCCAAGATGACGTCTGGAAAGTCCTCAAATAAACTCTTAAAACAACGGCCACCAAAACTCACTTTCAATTTTATCACTGAAAAAATATATTTTAAAAAGTACAAGAGGCCGGGCGCGGTGGCTCACGCCTGTAATCCTAGCACTCTGGGAGGCCAAGGCGGGTGGATCGCTCAAGGTCAGGAGTTCGAGACCAGCCTGAGCAAGAGCGAGACCCCGTCTCTACTAAAAAAAATAGAAAGAAATGATCTGGACAACTAAAAATATATAGAAAAAATTAGCCTGGCATGGTGGCACATGCCTGTAGTCCCAGCTACTCAGGAGGCTGAGGCGGAAGGATTGCTTGAGCCCAGGAGTTTGAGGTTGCTGTGAGCTAGGCCCATGGCACTCTAGCCCGGGCAACAGAGTGAGACTCTGTCTCAAAAAAAAAAAAAAAAAAAAAAGTACATGAAAAAGTATAAACATTTTTTTCCTATCAATCAAACACTTACATAGCATCTACTACATGCCAGTGCTGTTTATTATACTTTATAAATACTAAGTCACGTAATCCTTGTAATAACCCTTTGGGGTAAGTACTACTATTCTACCCCTTTCACAGATAAGGAAACTGAGACACAAGGCTAGTAAGTGGAGAGCTGGGCCTAGGACTCAGAAGCACTTTCTGTGGCTTTGGCTCAAACTACCAGACAGGGCATCGTGGCTGTTGATCATGGTAACAGGACAACTACGGAACTACTCAGTCTACCCAGATTTCTCTAATGTTATTTCAGACAGTAAGTCCATTTGCAATTCATTTGGGAGTGACCTGCATATTGAAATAAAAGAAAAATAAGTGGTATCTTAATTCCTTCAAATATCCTTCCTGATATATTTTAAAAAAGAGAAAAACAGTGAAGAAAATGAACCCCCTGAAAAGAAGACAAGAAAGTACCTGTGGCCAAATGGAATCTTTCAGTCAATCCCATGACCTTGAACCAGGAGCCTACAAGCCATGGCCAAGTTCTGGCCAGCCCACATGTAATCTTTTCAAATGCACACGCAGCCAACATTGAAAAATGGAAAGATCTTACAAAAAATAAGATTCTCTGCCTTTATCAGAAAAACAAGAAGAAGCAACAACACCCACAGCACGGCAGCAAGACACGGAACAAAATGCTCCTCTCCGGGTGGCCCCCTGAGGGATTCCAGTCTCTCCGGCACATTCACGGAGAGTTGTATTTGCGGAACTATTCAAGGGGATTCACCGACTTCTCTGGGGGCCCCTCTTAAATCTTTGTCTTCACACTGTTCTCTATTGAAGGGACTACCAGGTTGGCTTCCTTAAGATTTTCTCTTGAGTGCCAGCTTAACCCTGCCACGTCCTAAAACGTCAATGGCTTTGCCTGGGATCCCACAGTTCTCCAATATGACCCTCAAGGACCCCAGGAAATCCTGCCCCTTGTCATCTCACTGGGGACCGTTTGCGTCCGGCCTACACTGTACTATACTGTGATTTAAACAGACCACAGGGGCGTGGGTGGGGACGCCTGGGCATGCCTCCCTAACCAAGAGTTCCACTGGCTTCCAGCATCCTGCCTGATACTACATGAGAGTCTGAAGCAACTGCTTCTGCCTTTCGGGAGAAAGCTTTTAATAATATCGACACAGACCGGTAGGCCCAAACATCAGTCAGGCTAATCCAGGGACCTACAAAGTATCTTTGTCCCCAGTTTGCAGCACAGAGGAAACATCCAGACGTTTGTTAAAGTGCCCAACATACAATGATTAACAGGGAACGCCTGCAGCCAGAGGGCCCAGACTAGAATTGTGGCTGTGTGACTCTGAATAACTTACTTAACATGTCTGTGCCTACGTTTCTTCACTTGAAAACTGGGGATGTAACACACCCCTTCATCATAAGGTGTGTGTGTAAGAATTAGTTAATGTGTGAAAAAGTACGTGAAACCATTCTGGCACAAAGTTAGAGCTCAGTGAGTAGGCGCTGCTCCTGGGATGCTCGCTATCAAATTCCTGTTGCCGGCAGCTGGAAGGCAGGAAAAGAGGTCTCCACCAACACCCGCTTTGTAGCTGGTGTCTCAAGCATTCTGTGCTCTGCCCACAGACCATACAGCAACCAGCCTAGTTTTAGCTCCGTTCACATCTGGGATGGAGGCCAGAGGGGCAAAGTTCATGCCCCATACCTTCCTCATTCCAGACCAAGTGGCCAGACCTTACCCAAGTTGTGTTTCATCTCGGAGAGCTCCTGCTGGTGCAGCCACTGAAGCTTCTCTATCTCAATCCTCAGCCTGCGAATCTGCAACGGGGAGAGGAAGACTCTTAGAAAGCTGTCCTCGTGCCATTCCCGCTGGCTGGCTGTCACGGTCAGAGTGTGACATGGTTAACTGAGGACACAAGTGGTCTGACTCTGTGCTGTCCTTCCCATAGCCACAGGCCAGAGAGGTGGCACTAGTGAGTTAACTCAAATTCACGCGAAAAACTGGCTCAGAAAACTAAGTACAAGCATCTTTCCTAAGAAATACTGGCACCAGGAAAAACCACTGAAAATGATGACAAGGACCAGACTTTCATATAAACAATATGTAAAAAGTTGGACTAGGATTTTGGTCTAAAAAAATGAAACTAGGCTGGGCGCAGTGGCTCACGCCTGTAATCCTAGCACTCTGGGAGGCCGAGACGGGCGGATCTTCTGAGCTCAGGAGTTCGAGACCAGCCTGAGCAGGAGCAAGACCCCGTCCCTACTAAAAAAACAGAAAGAAATTAGCTGGACAACTAAAAATACACATATAGAAAAATTAGCCGGGCATGGTGGCGCATGCCTATAGTCCCAGCTATTTGGGAGGCTGAGGCAGTAGGATCGCTTGAGCCCAGTAGTTTGAGGTTGCTGTGAACTAGGATGATGCCATGGCACTCTAGCCCGGGCAACAGAGTGAGACTCTGTCTCAAAAAAAAAAAAAAAAATGAAATTAAAACAAAAAAAGATAGTTATATTTTACCCCGTATCTTAACAACATTAGGCAGTGGGGTCCATCATTATTCACCTAAAATCGAAAGTCTGACATCTCAGAAAACCAAAGGCTATTTTTAGGGGGCCAAACTCGCTTGGGGAGAGGAAAGAAATAAACTCAGCCTGAACTGTAATGGGGCTAACTAGACAGCGTTTAATCATCATGCTGGTTCTCAACGGGGGTGACTTTGCCTACCCAAACCCTCACCGTGACAACAACTAGGGTAATTTTTGGTTGTCACAACTGGGAAGTGTTACTGGCGTCTGGTGAGTAGAGGCCAGGGATGCTGCACAGGACAGCCCCACCACAGAGAATTATACGACCCAAGTGTCAACAGTGGCAAGGTTGAGAAAACCTGATTTATTCAAGTGAATCGTTACATTTCACTGCAGAAATGTTATCTCTAATTGTGGGAGACTGCTTATAACCTCTCTAAAATCCAAAAGCTTACAGCACACATCTGGAACCACGGTGTCAGGTGAGGCATTATGGACCCGTATATTTAACCACACACCTTTTCTTTTGTTTAAATATGAGACAGGGTCTTGCTCTGTCACCCAGGCCAGAATACAGTGGCTCAGTCATAGCTCACTGCAGCCTCAAAGTCCTGGGCTCAAATGATCCTCCCACCTCAGCCTCCCGAGTAGCTGGGACTACACATCTGCACCACCAAGCCCGGCTAATTTATTTTTTGTAGGGACAGGATCTTGCTATGTTGCCCAGGCTAGTCTTGAACTCCTGACCTCAAGCAATCCTCCTGCTTCAGTCTCCCAGAGTGCTAGGATTATAGGCATGAGCCACTACACCCAGCCTTCACAGACCAATTCTTAAAATGAACAAAAAAGAATGAAGGTTTTTCTAAAGCATTATTTTTGACATCTTCTTTGATGTCCCCAGAACATTCATGGAGAGTTGTATTTGCAAAACTATTTAAGGGGATTCACCGACTTCTCTGGAGGCCCCTCTTAAATCTTTGTATTCACACTGTTCTCTGTTGAAGGGACTACCAGGTTGGCTTCCTTAAGATTTTCTCGAGTGCCAGCTTAACCCTGCCACGTCCTCAAACGTCAATGGCTTTGCATGGGATCCCACAGTTCTCCAACATCACCTTCAAGGACCCCAGGAAATCCTGCCCCTTGTCATCTCACTGGGGACCATTTGCATCCGGCCTACGCTGTACTTGCTGTTGGCCGAGCAGTGGCCCTCCAAGCCTTGGTAGTGATTAGACTACGGGGATTTCAGGGAGGTATGTTTCTGTAAGTGGTCACTTTACAAGTGGCTAGTTCAATGTTGTAACAACTTTCTTCTCTAGACAATCACCTAATTATGGAGACCCCAGGACACAAATTCTTAGACAATAGAATCACTTATATTAAAAAGTCCAGGCCCAGCGCGGTGGCTCACACCTGTAATCCCAGCACTCTGGGAGGCCAAGGTGGGGGGATCCTTGAGCTCAGGAGTTCAAGACCAGCCTAAGCAAGAGTGAGACTCCCGTCTCTACTAAAAACAGAAAAAATTAGCCAGCTGTGGTGGCGAGCGCCTATAGTCGCAGCTACTCGGGAGGCTGAGGCAGGAGGATCACTTGAGCCCAGGAGTTTGAGGTTGCTGTGAGCTAGGTTGACACCACTGTGCTCTAGCCCAGGTGACAGAGCAAGACTATCTCAAATAAAAAGAATTTTTTAAAAAGTCCAAACTTATGGAGAAGATTAAAGGAGCCAATTTTCCATGAAGCAACAAGAACTGGTTTCCAGTTTCACCAGCGGCTTAACTCAGGCTCTGGTTTGGGCTGTTTTATCAGAAGTGAATTTATCACATGAAGCAGGGCACGTCCCCACAGTCCCAGCCGTCCAGCAGAGTGAAGAAACACCCCATCAACCACCGCAATCAGTGCAGCCAGCTTGGTGATGGGAGTCAGGACCCAGGAGATTTCTTCATGGTGCCACCTTTATAGCAGCCCATAAAACACTCTTAGCAAATAAGGAATTCATGTGCCGTCTCTGACCTCGGCTATGGTGCTTCCGGTAGTGTTCTTAGAAAGATCGTTGTATATCTCTGTCATCGTTCCTTTTATTGCGTCCATCATCTGAAAGACAAAAACAGAAACAATTCAGGTGATCGCTGCTTGGAGGCTTCTCTAGGTGACATATACCTGAGCTCTCTCCGTATAAAGCAATGGTTCTCAACGCAGGGCTATTTTGTCCCTCATGAGACGCTGGGTATTTCTGGTTGCCATGACCGGCGCCAGAGTGGGGAGAAGGGGCTGTACTGGCGTCTAGCAGGTGGAGGCAGGGAAGCTGCCCAGGACAGCCCCCAGGACAAAGAACCACCCACCGGCCCAGCGTGTCACTAGCGCCGAGGCTGAGAAACCCTGGTATAAACCAGGGTAGGAATCGCCCAGATTCCTTGCCTCACATTGCGGGAGTGGTTCACAACATAAAGCGAGTTTCTCTACCCACAGGCTGGAACTGGAGAAGCCAAATTCAGCCCCCAGATGTGTTTTGGTCGGGCAGCACCATAGGTTTATGGAGATTATTGTTTTGCTACTGTTTCTTAATTGTTTCCCCTTAAAAAAACCACTGCTTTATTGTACACACCATACAATTCACACAAAGTGTATAGTTCAATGGCTTTTAATATATTCAGAGTTGTGTATCCATCACCACAAAGTATTTTCCGAAATCGCCAAATTTCAGGGCATTTTCATTACCCCCAAAAAGAAAACCCCACTCCCCCTTAGTCTTCCCAACCCCAAAGAGCCCCATCGCCTCCTCCCCCCTCCCCTGACAACCATCCATTTGCCTTCTGTCTCTATGGGATTCGCTTAATCTGGACATTCATATAAATGAACTCAGAGGACGAGGTCCTTTGTGACTGGCTTCAAGGTGTATCTTTGTTGTAGCGTGCATCAGAGTGTCATTCCTTTCACAGTGCATTGTGTGGACACGGCTGGTTCGTCATTTTAATGCCTTCGGTCGGGGGCATTGCCTTTGCCATTCATTTCCCATCTTCTTTTTCTTTAACCCTCTGACCCTCTGATTTCAGCAAGTTTGTGAAATCAGCAAAGGTCCATGCGGCAGGCACCCAGGCATCTGCCGACCCAGTGTGTGTGTGGGACGAATTTCTCTTGTACATCCCACCTGCCTACTGACCCCATCCTCACCGCAGGAGAAAGGGGAGGGGACAGGAGACCGAACGACGTTTCGGGTCTGGCCTGACTGTGGCTGAGTCTCCTGTGCATTCTAGACGCTCCACTTATTGAGAAGGCAGGACACAGAGCACCCCTACCACCCATACTTTCTCTGAGCCTCGGTTTCCCCGTGTAAAAATCAGAGATAGTAACAGTGCCCCCTGGCAGGGCATGCACAAGATTAATGAGAAAACCACGTGAAAACTCTGGTTCAGTGCCCGCCATGGAGAAGATCTTCATAAAGAAATACCAATTCACCTTATTTTTACAGAAAAATAAACTGATATAAGCATGCAACTGCGTAACTACTGCCAACCTCCAAAACAGTAACCCCAAATTCACCCCAAAATGGGAGTAAACGAATAAAATATCTGTTGAGATTTCTGCTCCCAGCTTGCTATGGGGCCACCCCGGGCCACTGCCAGCGAAAACACTCTGTGCTTTATGCGGCTTTGCAGTCGGTCATTCTGCACAGGCCTCCTCACTCTCCTGCACCAACCACGTCTATTTAAAAAAACTGAAACGAAACTGCTTTTACAAGAAAACCTTAGAAAGTGGATGAAATTCAATACATTACTAATGCAATGCTTACATTCCATTTTAAAGATATCATGAATTTGTGGACTGACTTTTACTCTTAACTTCCAAATATAGCAAAGAACCCAACATTACCAAAGAGCACCCTTCTGCCAAAACACACAAATCTGCGTCTCCGACTCCAGGTCACCTCGGAGACAGGAAAGTTCATCAGTTCCCAAAAAATGTTACCATGTTCACTTTTTTTTTTTTTTTATTTCAGCATATTATGGGGGTACAGATGTTTAGGTTACGTATGTTGCCTTCCCCTCCCCCCATGTTCACTTTTTTTAATTGCAAAGAAAACATCTAACAAAAAGGCCATCCCTTACTTTCGCTATAACGGTATAAAGGGGAGCCGGGCATGGTGGCCTACGCCTATAGTGCCAGCTACTCGGGGGGCGGAGGCAGGAGGATCGCTTAAGGCCCAGAATTAGGACCAGCCTGGACAACACAGTGAGGCCTTGTCTCTAAAAACAGTTCTGAAATAAAAAATGATAACAATAATAAAAACTTTTTTATAAAAGGAGTAAACGGGCTGCAGAAGGTAACAGAATCGAAATGGCCACAGGAGCTGAGAAAACAGGCTGAGTATGAACCACTAGCCAGATCTACCGGGCGGGCTTCAATTTTCCCATTTGTAAATAAACAGCTTGGACCAAATCAGTAAGATGATACGAGGCACAATTTAAAGTAGAACAAGAGATCATTTAGACAACACCAGACACCTTTTTTTATAAGCAACTTTTAATAAATTAATTATTCCTTTATTTTTTTGAGACAGGGTCTCACTCTGTCGCCCAGGCTACAGTGGAGTGGTGTCATCATAGCTCACTGCAACCTCAAACTCCTGGAGTCAAACATCCTCCCGGCTCAGACTTCAAGTAGCTGGGACCACAGACGTGTACCACCAAGCCCACCTAATTTTTGTATTTTCTGCAGAGACAAGATCTCATTATGTTGCTTGCGCAGGTCTCAGTGGATCCTCCCATTTCAGCCTCCCAAAGTGCTGGGGTTATGGGCGTGAGCTACCACGCCCAGCCCAGACACCTTCTTAAATCAGTAATGAAAAAGTTGCCACCGTTCAATTCTCTAATAATCCCACAGATCCCTCTAGCAAGAAAGTCTCAGTTTAGTGTTGTTACATCTTTAACACTTCCATGACAACCTTCCCTTCTCGACAAAAGAAAAACAGACTTAGGCTTCAAACCTTGACAGGGAACGGTGTCTGGTAAGGTTAAACTTAATTTTCTTTAATTTTTTTTTAACTAAGCTAATTTAAATAAAATAAAGTTTAAATAAAAATATTAAGCCAATACCAGGTCAGGTGATGAACAGTTAAAGCAAAAATCATGAGTGGCAACAAGTAACCGACGCCTGAATCCTTCCTGTTCTGAAACTCGATTCGTGCCTTTTCTTCCAAAGGGGGACAGACACAGTAAATGAGAACAAAGCTATCCCTAAGACACAGGTTCTTATTTCTTTAGCCACACTGAATCTTAAGTGGAATTGCTTTATAAAGCCATGCGGCAACAGGTTGTGGACACTGAACATCTGTGGTCAGTAGGGTTATTCTGAATTCACACACCAGCCAAAGCCAGGGGGACAGCACACGCCAGGGCCAGGCTGCCACCATTCAAATTCCAGCTCGGGCCAGGCACAGTGGCTCACACTTGTAATCCTAGCACTTTGGGAGGCCGAGGTGGGAGGATCACTTAAGGCCAAGAATTCAAGACTAGTCTGAGCAACATAGAGACTCCATTGCTACAAAAAACCAGAAAAATTAGCCAGGCATGGTGGCATATACCTGTGGTCCCAGCTACTCAGGAGACTAAGGCAGGAGGATCTCTTGAGCCCAGGAGTTTGAGGCTGCAGTGAACTATGATCATGCCACTGCACTCTAGCCCAGGTAACAGAGCAAGACCCTATTTAAAAAAAAAAAATTCCAGCTCAGCCATTCACTGGCTGTGTGATTGTAGACAAGTTGTATAACCTCACTGGGCTTCTGTTTTCTCATCTATAAAATTGAGATGATAATAGTACCTACTTTATCAATTTGTCATGAAGATTGAATAACACAGAAAAAGTGCTCAGAACAGTGTCTAGCCCACAGTAAGTGCTACCCAGACATACCGCCCTTTTATCTCGTGCCAGACTCACCCCAAGGTGGCACCCAACGATCCCAACTCCCTGGTACTCGTGCCCTCAGGTAATCCCTTCCCTCAAGTGTGGGCTGGCCTAGCGATTTGCTCCTAACCCACGGAATGAACACAGCAAAGGTAATGGGACGTCACTTCTGTGGTTAAGCTACATTAAGAGCGTGACTTCCATCTTGCCATCAGCTCTCAAGAAGCAAGCCGCCACCTTGGAGAGGCCCACATGGCGAGGAACTGAGGGCTCCGGCCGACAGCCCCCGAGGCCACCTAAGTGACCTTGGAAGTGGATCCTTTCCCAGCCAATCACCTGAGGAAACCCCAATCCTCGCACACACCGTGACTGCAGCCTGCAGAGCTCCTGAAGCTGACAGCCCAGCCGAGCCGGGTCGAGATTCCCGACCCACAAAACTGTAACACAACGAATGTCTGTATCAAGTTGCTACATTTTGTGGCGATTTGTTGCACAGAAACAGATAACGATTATACCTGGACAGAAGGAATAAAAACAAAAATGACCAATAAAAAGTCACCAGTTAAGGCCGGGCGCGGTGGCTCACGCCTGTAATCCTAGCTCTCTGGGAGGCCAAGGTGGTGGATTGTTTGAGCTCAGGAGTTCGAGACCAGCCTGAGCAAGAGCGAGACCCCGTTTCTACTAAAATTAGAAAGAAATTAATTGGACAACTAAAAATATATAGAAAAAGTTAGCCAGGCATGGTGATGCATGCCTGTAGTCCCAGCTACTCGGGAGGCTGAGGCAGGAGGATCGCTTGAGCCCAGGAGTTTGAGGTTGCTGTGAGCTAGGCTGACTCACGGCACTCACTCTAGCCCGAGCAACACAGTGAGACTCTGTCTCAAAAAAAAAAAGTCACCAGTTAAAAGTAAAAACCATAAATATTTCTTTCACCATCCAGAAGTTTAAAAGATTGTATGCAATCTAAAGCAACTCTTTTATCATGAGACTTCAATAATTCTAGAAATAACTATTCCCAACTCTTTTCATCCATTCTCTCTATAAACTTGAATAGTTTACTCATTAGTAACGAATCAGTAATCTGCTCATTAGTAAAGAATAAGTTATTACCTACTGTGTAATTTACTAAATACTCTTAGTAGATTGTTACTCATTAGCTATTATAAAGTTACTAATAATAACAATCCCAATGAAGAGAAAGCCCAACTATGTATTAAGCACTTACTGTATGCCAGGCACTGGTCCAGGCCTTGCCAGTTTCACACTGAAGTCTCTATCACTTCTGTTCCACTGCACTGGCTTCTACATGCAAACCAAGCCCTTGGTCGGCTGTTCACTGAAGGGTCAGCAATTTGTTCTAGCGCTTAAGGAAAATCTGTCCTTAATGAGTGACTTGAATTCTAACTAGTGAAGGCTAACTCTGGATGACATGTCCGCTTACATTTTATGTACTAACTTCAGAATCAAAGCCCTTTTGTAGTGAGACTCAGTTCATTCTACATTTCTCTGTTAAGACACAACTTTAGACCCAAGTAAATCAATCTGGTCTTGGAGACACTCTGTTAAAAAAGGGTCCCTCCTAAATGCTCCCCAAAACCTGTGAGGCTATGACCCCAGCAGCTCCCCCCAGGAAGCTGCTCCTCTGCGCCCTGCCAGGTACCTGCCCGTCTCCAGGGCAGCGCTCCCCCCCACTCACTTTGCTAGTGTACTTGGCGATGTCCGCGGCGACATCGGCGGAGGCGGTGGCGATGGGCAGGTCAGCGCTGATTGAAGACGCGAGGGTGCTCGTGGATCCCGAGCTGGTGACCAGGGGTGACGACTGTGTGCTGGTCACCAGGGTGATGGTGGAGGTGGAGGGGCTCTGTGTGATCTCCTTCTGCTGGACCGCTACGAAAGCAAAGGATCCTGGTTACCCCACCATCACGGGAGGGACCTGTCCCAACACGAAGCCGGGGTGAGGAAGCGAAGCCCCTGATACATGCCCTGTGAGCTCTTCTGCTCTTAAGTGACAAAGACTCTCACCAACCAAACTCCAGCCAGGCTCCTCGGAGCCCTACGAGGGCCCAGTCTTGGCCTATAAAGACTTGAACAAACACTAAGCGTTTCTAAGAGCCCCAAGTCGCTTGCCAGGATGCACCTCGCCCCTTTAAAACTCAAGGCTGCCAGAAGAATTTAGTTTGTTCCTGCCGATACCTGAAGACAGGCCCCCTGTCTCCCAGGCTCTGTGGGAGGGTAGGAGCCTAACTTCGTTAAGTGCCCATTAGCAAACCCAGGTGGGTTTCACAGAGACCAACCCCTCTTCTTGCTTTTTGTGATGTTCAATTTCCCAGATGCTACTGAGCCCACTCGCCACCCCCCTACTCCTTCGTCCTCCCTTTAAAATGCCCAGTCACCTCTGTACAAATCAAAGTTGATTTTGCAGTTCACGCTAGACTCTTTCACCTATTACAATAGTATATTACTGATTAAAATCTGTCCTTACTACTTTAATTCGTGGTATAATAGTATACTACCGATTAAAACCTGTCCTCACTACTTTAACTAGGCTTTACTTTGACATAAGACGATCTGAAGCGATGAGCCCCGTCCTGGCAGCACCAGGGAAGGCTCCCATGCTTGTGCGGAATGCAGACAGAACAATGGAGGTGATAATCCCAATCTCAAATATCCTAGATTCAGTTTGGCAACATCAACTTTTTAAACAGCAAAATCAACCCAACTGTACTCTGATTTTGCCTATTCGATGTTTCAGAGTCTTCCCCCCCACCCCCAACCTTTGAAGGGTTCACTGGGGGCCAAAATTGAAGACCTGGCCACCTCTCGCCCTCTTATCCTGCACCACCCAGGAGTCCCGCCCCCTAGGGTGCGCTCCCTATCAGAGTTTCAATCGAGGAACCTGACCTCCGAGGGCCTAGATGCAGGCTTCCCCGTGGAATGAGAGCTATGCCGATGCTCACAAAGCCAGGCAAACGCACTGTTCAGACCAGCAATGCGTCTGGCCTCACATCGGCCCCAGACGGAGCCTCCGGCATGCCTGGTGGGAGTTTTGATTCTGCACCTTTGTCAAGTGGTTGTTGATGCAGGCTCGTCTTTTATGTATGGCAAACCTCTAGGCATTAAGGTCATCGTGGCTACCAACTTCTCACACTGCACTTTTTCCAAAATAGTTCCAAGAGGTTCCCTCATGCACACAAGGAAACTCTGTATACAGAGACAGTCATCGCAGCACTGCTTACAGTAGGCAAAAACTAAAAGCAACCTACATGCCCACCAGCAGGGGAATGCTTTAAATAAAAATAGGGAATACTATGCAGCAGTCCAAAAGAATAAGGCAGAGCTGTATGTACTGACATGGACAGACCTCCAAAACATGCTGATGGGTGAAAAAAGCAAGTATGGTACCATTTTTATGTTTTAAAAAAGAAAAAAGGGAAAAAAGTAGTGTTTTTACAGCATGCTATATATATACATATAACATGCATACATATATACGTACATACATACGCATATATGTACACATGCAAAGAAAGGGGTTTACAATGGTTGATAGTGGCCACTGTGGAAGGAAGGAGAATGAAATGGAAGGTGAATGGGACAATAATTATGCAAATATTTTGCCCCCTTTCTAAGAAGAATATATGCATGCATCAATTGTAAATAAAAAAAAATTTTTAAGTACAAAAGCAAGTAGCAAAACAATTTTTAAAAATAATGCCAAATGAAATGTGTAAGGCCTTCAGGATACAAAGGCCAGGAAACACATGGGAACTAAAAAATAAAACAGCAATGATTTTTCTCCTGTCGATGTGGCAAAAAGGGAGCGGGTGCCACAGAGAACAGAAGGGGCGGCTCGGTACCTTTCACAGCCTGTCTGGTCTGATATCTCGTCCCCTGGGAAGACTGAGGCTGCTGCTGCTGGTTTTGCTGCTGCTGCTGCTGCTGACGCTGCATCTTCTGCATGTGCCACTTTTGGGAGGACGTTTGAAACTTACTTGATGAGTTCCACACGACCCGCTGCACGGCCGGGGCAGTCTCCTTCGGTAAAAGCGGCCTCTGCTTTTTCACTGGGCTTCCTGTGGCGGCGGGAGCCGGGGCCGGGGCCGGGGCCGTGACCGTGACGGCAGATGTCGAGCTGGTGGTGGCCGTGACACCAGCGGCGGGAGCTTGGGAGGAAGAGCGGGTGAGCACCGGCGTTTCCGGGGGAGACTGGCTGCCCGCTGTCATGGATGGCGCAGCTTTACCTACAACTAAAGCCAATGCGTGAAAAAAAAGAAACAAACAAAAACTGGATTGGACTCAGATTGGCCTGCAGGGTCTTTACACCAGCAAGTTCTGGGTAAAGCCTACATGAGAATGCCAGACAAATTCGGCGTCCCAAGTACACCTGATGGCGGAGCACAATCTCGCCCACACGCTCCGAAAACTTCTGCAGCTCCTTCCGTCTCCCCGAGGACCGGCCTCCCTTACTGAGCACTTGCTCGTGTTGGAGACTCAAGTCAAGACCTCTGGGAGGAAACGAGGCGCACGAGACCCAGACCCTGCCCTCCAGTCACCCGCCAACTAGCGGGCGGAGCAGTGGGTCAACAGAATCACGGTCAGTGCCTATTTCACAAGGTCAGAATTTGGTGAGCACCTTGAGAAAGACCCAACCCAAGTCCATCGAGAAACAAAGAGAAACCCTTTGGCTAGGGAAGCTATAAAGCAGCGGTGCCCAATCTTTTTGGCACCAGGGACCAGTTTCATGGAAGACAATTTTTCCATGGACTGGTGAGGGGGACGGGGCGGGGGGTGGTTTCAGGATGATTCAAGCGCATTACATTTATCGTGCAGTCAAATCTCTCTGCTAATGATGATCTGTATTTGCAGCCGCTCCTCAGCATTACCTCCTCAGCTCCACCGGCATTAGATTCTCATCCGGAGTGTGCGACCTAGATCTCTCGCATGCATGATTCACAGTGGGGTTCACACTCCTATGAGAATCTAATGTCTCGGCTGATCTGACAGGAGGCGGAGCTCCGGCGGTGATGCAAGTGATGGGGAGCGGTTGTACATACAGATGAAGCTTCGCTCGTTTGCCCTCCTGCCATGACCAGTAGAGGTCCATGGTCCTGGGGTTAGGGACCCCAGCTATAAAGCATGTAGCCCCAAAGAACCAGATGGCTTCCCAATGGCCAAAGCACTGAATTAACACTTAATTACTCAGAAAGAAAATATCTCTTCTCATTCCCTCCAGGGCAAAGTCTCATGGTGGTACCGATGGCCTTGAAAATAAATTCTGCCTCAGGAACAAAATCTTCCCCAACACAATGATATTATCTAGAACTTAACAGCATTGCTTCTGTTTTTATTGTATTTATTCCTGTCACCACCTTTTATGTATAGTGCACAATTCTGGTTTTCCTATTGTGTAGTAGTCAAGTTAATGTCTAAAACGAAGTAAGTTTGAGTCTGTGTTTTTTTTTTTTTTAAAAGAGACAGGGTCTCAATATGTTGCCCAGGCTGGCCTCAAACTCCGGGGCTCAAGCGATCCTCCCACCTCAGCCTCCTGAGTAGCTGGGACTACAGGCACATGCAACCACACCCAGCTTAAAATGAGTTTAATTATTTTTTTAAAGAGCGAGTTGCTTTCAATAAAAATATTAAGTCAAAAATTATACAAGCAGGACTTGAGAATGGCAAAAACAATGAATGTGAATGACTCAAGTTTGGAAAACGCTGCCATATGCAGTGTGTCTTCTTGGAAGAGCTGGGCTAGTGGATATGAGGGTAGGATTCAACAGGCAGAAGTGAGAATCTGGAGGGAATAGGATTAGCCAAGATGTGTGTAGGAACAGACAACACTTTGGCAAGTGAGGCCAGGCAGGGAGGAGGAGTGGCTGGAAGGCAGGTTAGAGCCAGAAGCACTGAGCCATGGCCTGGAAAGGGTGACCACGTGGGTGCTGGTCCGTACACGTGGGTGGGTTACAGAAGCAGAGGCCCCAGCCACCAGCTAGGTGAGCTTACCCCCCAGAGAGGATGCCCGGGCAACACACACCAAACGTGGCTACAGCCAGCACCCTTGATCTTAGACAATGTTCCTTGACATCAAACTCCTTTTAATAAGGATTATGCCTGTCTTTGTAGATTTATATCACCCAGAAAGTCATGAGCTTGATTATTCCAGGAAAGATTTTCAGTAAACTGCGGGTTTTAAAAAGCCAAGGAGAATAAGGGGGAGGAGACAAGCTGACTCTTCCGACTCAGGGGCTTTCTCAGCGGTTACCATGTCTGGCTGGCCCTCCTGCTCCTCTGGAGAGGAGAATTCAGACAAGCCGGCGGGCGAGAGCCCGGGGTGGGGCTGGAGGTGGAGTTTCCTGCTACCAGAAGCCCTCATCCTTCCACGGTGACCTGCCAGATACTGGACACACTTCCTGTCCCCTCCGGGTGCAGAAGAAGCACTGCACTGGGCAGTTCTAAGAGCAGGACACAGCGTCAGTGCCTTAGCAGGGTGTCTAACCTGCAAAAATGCCCTCAATGCCTTCCTTTTCTGCCACATGACCAAAAAATATATTGTTACTGTTCGTTAGCTAGACTAGTCCCCCCTTGGGCAAAGGGCAACCACAAAAACGTCATCTTCTCTTTCCTGATTCACAAAAGCAACCAGCTACCTCTGCAGAGGGGACTGACTGCTCTGCAGTGGTGAGTGCTGGTCTCGAGCAATCCACCTGCTTCGACCTCCTGGGTAGCTGGGATTACAGGGTGCACCACTGTAACGGGCTCTGTTTTCCAAATGAAAAACTGGACTGCACAGTCTGAAAAGATTCCAGGCTCAAAGAACTGTTTGGGGTTATCATTCAGAAACCCCAGATATTTTCATTTCTAGGGATTCTAATGGCATATGGAACAAAAAAAAAAAAAAAAGGCTACAGGAAATTTCATTTATCCTAGGAATTCATAGTATCTAATCAATCATCTATAGCCCCAAAAAAGGGGGTGAATTTCTTAAAGGGCCTAGTACCCCAGAAGCTGCGCCATCAAATTAACCTACTTATTCCAGAATTTGTCGCTGGCCACTGTTTTGCACATAAAGGCAGGACTTTTTACGAGAAGAATTAGCATCCCCTTTGGAGGAGGATGGAAATTAGTGACGTGCCAGGGTAAACGTAGTAAGGAGTCTCTAAGTGAACTCCCCGTGCCTCTGTTCTGAGATTCCTAGCGACAAAAGCTGTTTCACGGAGGATTCACATTCCACATAAGCTGCGTTCCTAGCTCAAGGTAATCCACAGCGCACTTCAAGACGCCCTTCACTGCATAAACTCGTGAGTGAAAGCACATCGCTGAAAAGATGCTCTACTGTGGACTCGAACACAAAGATGATTCTTCAAGATCTGAACCATCAGCAGGGGTTCTAGATTTAAGATTAGTCGGTTTTGCCCCAAGCCCTGGGATGCTGCTCTAACTGAACTGTATTTTAGTATCACCTTCAGCTCAATAGTCCACCATCTACTCAGGGCCTCCTGGAGAAACTTCTTTCGGTCAGTACAAGCAAGGGCTCTACTTCTTTTAATCAACTGGAATGCTTTTTATTTTTTGGAAAATGTAAGATCTTTTAAGGAACTGTGCATGTTTCCTATTTTGCTTTCACTACTTGGAAGCTCAGAGCCAAAATGGAAACCCAACTTCGCTAACTGAGAAGGCTGGAATAGTACACATGTCTGTATAAAACCTTTCCCCAGGCCACTCGTTGTTCTACCTTCATTTTCCTTTTACACTGATTTCTTTATTTTCATCTCGTTTCATGGTTACATATCCTTGTCAATCTGTTGCAAATTCTTTCTGGAAGAGGAAGGAGCATAAAACCAATCATCAAAAGATCTTTTCCAGAGAGAAAGGAACAGTATAAATGTGTCACTCATAGGAGCACTGCCACCTGCACCCAAATATTCCCACAACCCTCAAAGAATAAACGCTACTCCTATTGTTCTCTGCATCAACAAAGGCAGTCTCTCGACCCCCAGACCACAACATTATTGTATCTTTCAGAGGCCATCCATAAATCTAAGGGATGGTCTAAGGGTCTATCCTCCCTTCCCTCCCATCTCTCTCTTCCTCCATTGCACCATACAGAGACATCTCGTTATCTTTAGCTGAATTGCAGGAATCTTCTCTCTCCCCAAACAACTCAGATTCCAGAGTAGCCCAGGCTGATATAACCACAATGGAAAGATTCTCAAGGCCCAGCTCTGACATGCTTTAAGCTGCCAGGCTACAGAAGCCTCAAAGGACATAGAATCACATCTTACTCAAGGGTTTGGCTGAGAAGTTACCTCTTGTCAGAAGTTAGGCATAGTCAAAAATTAAACCTGGCTATCCCTGAAGTTACTCACAAAGCACATAAGGTTTGCTAGCTACAACCTCTAATTCGTCCTTCTTCAGTATCTTTCTTGGGCATGTTGGAATTCTCCCACCACCCACTTGCCAAGCCAACTGAAAAATGTACTGAATACTGTGTCAGTGGGAAAGACGCCCTTCGAATCATTCACTCGCTCCTGGAGGGTTTGCCAAACGTTCCTGCTGCACCAGGCTTTGGGGCAATCACTGCTGGGTCAGAATGTGACAGTAGCAACAGGAGGCCTCCAAGATTCAGGCAGTGGTTCTCAACAGGGGGAGGCTGTGCCCCCCAGGAGATATCTGGGAATGCCTGATGGCCATGACTGGGCAGGTAACTACTGCCATCCAGTGGGTAGAGGCCAGGGATGCTGGAAAACATCCTTCAACGCACGGGACAAAGAATTAGCCAGGGTACACTGTCCCTGGTGCAAGGCTGAGAAACCCTGGGCTCAGGTCATTTAAATGCAAACACGACAAAATGCCAATACAAGTATCCACCATAAACGCCCCTTCATTTTCTGGTGCCCCCAGAAGCACTTGGCCTTCTGGCAACACCTACCCCAACAGTATCCTATTCTAGTAAGAAAATAAACTTGCAAATGCCTGGGCAGCACGAGGGGAGGAAAGGGCTGCTGAACGCGTCAAGATCTTTGAACCGAATGCTTCTACCACCATTGGAGCCTCGTGAAACGGCTGAATGTTAACAAACACCTTAGGGAAATACATAAGCATACTGAAAAAGAAGCTGCTTAGACCAGAATTGACTTGGCCACTAGAAGCAACTACCATTTTCCGAGTGACTTATTTTTCTGCACTCAAAACCAACCGTGCTGGGTGCTGAGCAGGTGACAGGCAGGTGGGCCTGCATGTACGTCCTGGTCCTGTTCAGTAACTATCTAGGTGACCTTAAGCTGATCACAGCTTTGCTGCGCCTCTCTCGGTGGTGTCAGAGGGTCACGGGACTTTTGATAACACAAGTACGCGGGGGAATTCTAAACCCAATTAAGAAACTGGAAACTGGCCGGGCGTGATGGCTCACGCCTGTAATCCTAGCACTCTGGGAGGCCGAGGCAGGAGGATCGTTTGAGCTCAGGAGTTCGAGACCAGCGTGAGCAAGAGCAAGACCCAGTCTCTACTAAAAAGTAGAAAGAAATTAGTCAGACAACTAAAAATATATAGAAAAAATTAGCCAGGCATGGTGGCGCATGCCTGTAGTCCCAGCTACTTGGAAGGCTGAGGCAGGAGGATCTCCTGAGCCCAGGAGTTTGAGGTTGCTGTGAGCTACACTGATACCACGGCACTCTAGCCCAGGCAACAGAGTGAGACTCTGTCTCAAAAAAAAAAAAAGAAACTGGAAACTGATGTGATCACTTACCATCCTGCTTGGGAGATGGTTCTTTGGGTTCCTTCTTATTTTTTCGACCCTCCCGCCCAGAATGGTCTTCTCCTAAATCTATGACAAGTTCACTCTCCGAATCGGAGTCCAGGCCCAAATGTACCGTTGGGGAATCCATCTCATCTTTTCCCTTCAATTTATCCTTCGTGGGATGAGGCGACGGTTTTGCTTTTTCTGAAAAATCCTTCTCGGGCTCAGGGCTGGCCTTGTCCTTGGCTGCTCCGGGATCTACTTGCTCGCTGGTCGGCGACATGCTTTTCGCCTCCTCTTTGATCTCCACTGGGTTTGCCAGTTTGGGTTTTTTTTTGACAGCAGATGGGTCTTTGTCCCCCCGACTTCCCTCTTTGTCTTCTGTGTCTTCTGGCTCATTCTTGGGCTTCTGCTCATCGTCACTGATATACTCACTGTCGCTACTGTCTGACTTCTCGGAATCCTCGGAATCGCTGTGCTCCACGGCCGTGTAAACATCTTCCGAGATTTCATTGATGCCTAAATTCAAAAAGAAAACCCAGCATGTGGCGTAGTCACAAAATAAAGAACAGGACCAAAAATGCAAACATTTGCCACGCCAAACGCTGGAATAAGAGAACACGTTTCAAATTGCATCACACTGGCCTTGCGGGATCACTAACTTGAGTGATGAACTCAAGGGGCAGATGACTGTAGCTGACAAATGGAACTTGCATCTGGAGAGTTTGGGTTATTAACATTCACAGACGACGTGGGACCTAACAACATAAATTTTAAATTTATGCGAAGCTAAACCTCTGCAACATTGATAGATAACTGGGATACAGAGAAAGGGAGGGCTGGAAGGGAACACCAGGGATGAGCTGTTCAAACTGATCCAATTTATACGCTGGAAAACGGAAGCCCAGAGAAATCACTTGCCCCAGGACACAAAGAAAACCAAGACAGGCCAGACCAGAACCGGGCGGGGGAGCCCTCCTGACTCCACCAGCACTCTGCCCCTGGGTTGCCAAAGCATTAGAAGTCCCTTATCCTTTTTGTCTAGGGCTCAAAGAAATAACCAAAGTCTGAAAGCAGCAGTTGCATACTCTCAGCCCACAAGCCACATCTAGCTAGCAGACATTGCTCTTAGTTAAGGAAGCAATGGTTTGGCCCACAGGGTACTCTGTTGTTTGCTTTCTGTTTTTTAATTTAGTATTTGTTGCCCAATTCACAAATCGGGAAATTCCATACAGAAATCAAGGTGGCACGCTTCTGCTGAAATAGCAGAAGATGTGGCCACTCTGGGTCACCAGCCTGCCAGGCAACAGCTGGCTGGGGCAGAGAAGCCACCGGCTCCTTCTGGCGGGAAGCATGTGCCTCCAGGCGCCTCAGTGCCCACCCCTCTCTCTTGCTCCCTGCACTGCTGCGGAGAGTCGACTGCTGTTGTGTCTGCATTGATCTTCTATTTCAAAGGAGTCAAGAGGAAAGTCACGCGCTTCTACGTCTCTGTCAAAAGCAACCAGGTGTTTCTCACAAACAAAAATACACAAAAGCATATTTCTAACAATAGTTCCACTTAACCCATTTATGCTTCCTGCTCCCAGTAATACGTCAAGAGTCAGTCATCAGGCTGTAGTTAAGTGATACTATAACCTAGAATTCTGAAGAGGAAAGAAAATCCAATCAACTCTTTGTGCGGGATCTTCATTCTAGAGCGATGCCACCATGAGAGGCGTCACTAACTGACCCAGACACACCAAAGAGAAACCTGCCAAAGGACAACAGCCACAGACAGCCCAGGGCATGGAGATTGGCAGAATCACTGGGGAATTACATCCGCCTCACCAGGGCTCAATCAAAAACACAAGTCAAACTACACGATCCCAGATCTGGTATAATTTTGGGATCCTGGGCTGTGCTACTGGTAGCGAATGGCTGGAAACAGGAAGGAAAAGTCTGAACACACACATGGCAGGAAAAGCTTGGGTACTGAAGTCCAATGGGTATGAATCCAAATCCTGCTCTTCTGCTTTTGTTAGCTGTGACCCTCAACAGGTCACCTCTCTCTCTCTGAGCCTCAGTTTCTTCATCTGCAAAATGGACTGGTAATAGTATCAACCTCCCAGGACAATCCACATGCACAGTGCCTAGCACAGTACAGGGTGTAAACAGGAATATTATAATTCTCCTTAGCAACAGTAACAGATCAAGGAGTTAGACCAGCTGCGTGGATGCGCCCAAGAGGAATGATTAAATGGCATTCCAAATTCCATCCGTGCCACTCAATGTCCTCGCCAAACAGGCAAACCAACAAGGAGTGCTGTCCCCTGGACAGAGCCAGATGACCCCTAACTACAGCTCCTTTCTCGCCTGAAGATCCAGACCTCCCACTGACACCGTAAGCCTCACCTCGGAGTAGCTCTTTCTCCTGAGACCTAGCCACCCCCGCTCCTTTATAAACACCCTTCTGGCTTTATTTACTTATTCAACAAATACTCCAGAGCATCTACTATGTGCACAAGACCAAGTACCATGGACAAGGCAAATCCTTATAAAACCAGCTCCCTGCCCTCAAGGAGCTTCCAGTCTAGAGTGCGAGGGATACCCCCACACAAAGGTTACCATTGATGCTTCTAAGCATAAGGAACCAAAGAAGGTAGGCAGATGGGGAGAGCAGTCAGGGGAGACTTCCTGGAGGAGGTGAGATCTGAGCTCAGCCTTAGGGAAAGGCAGGATTCGGGTGGGCAGTGTGCATGCAGGCAGCACAGGAAAGAGGGAGGGAGGTGACAGGTACAGAAGCAGGAAGGGTGTGCCAGGCGGGGAGCAGTCGGGTCAGAAGGGGAAGAGCTTTATGTCAGACACCTGTGGGACATCCTCAGCATCAATGTGGAGACACTTACGAGGTGTGTGCACTGGGAGGGAGAGCAGAGGCAAACTCGGGGGACCTTTACTATGCTTTAAGCCTTTATGTCTCAAACCGGCATCCTGAGTTTGCAGGCTGCCTTCACCAAAGAATAAACTCTGGTGAGTTCAAAGAGCCCTTTGAATAATTAACTAGCAAGTCTGAAATATTCTGCTGTGAGTGGAAATACATGTTAGTTGAACAAACAAGTTCAAGGTTAAAGCAGCTGCTAAAAGCAGCCAGGATTCGATCTTTATTTCATCCGGGTGGTATCCCTACAAGTAATATACAGTGATGCCCCAAAAGAAACCAAAAGACATACCTAATTGTGCTTTGCAACTCTCTATGGTCTTGTCCAGGTTGAGCTGGAACCTGCTGCGAATCTGCCGCTTGGGCGAGATGAGGGGGACCGGCGCGGATTGCTGCACGGACTCGCTCAGCTCCTTCAGGTCCATCTCCGCCTTGCTGCGATCTGGAAGACACCGTCGCGCCCTCCTGAGCCCAGGCACTCGGGGGGCGAACAAACAACGCTCCCCACTCAGCTCCCTCCTTGCGAAGTCAGAGCAAACACACATTCTAGAACATGGGCCTGGGGGAGGCGGCGGCACACGTTTTTTTGTCATTCGCCCCAACAACATCACGTGCTCAGCAACACGGGGTGACATAAAGATAATGGCCCGAGTGAACACACCTGGCAGGTTTACTCAGCCAGCGAACAATCTTCTGGGTTTGCTTTCAGAATTTAAAATGGACGATCCCAGCCAGACAGTTCAGTTTGTGGAACTCAGCATCCTTAGGGACCCTCCCGAGCCAAAGGTGACAATATCATGTTCAATCAGTGTAGCAGATAAAGCAACACTGAGTCTGGCTGGAGTGTGCTTTGAACTTGAGGTCCAGATTGCAGCGGACTTGTCTCCAAGAAGGACACCGAGCCCCTCAGAAAGCACCTGCCTGTTTCCCCTGGAGGCCTCAATTTTCATTCTCCGTCACCCAGGTCTAGGGCTCAAACTAGAAAGGGAGGAGAACAGAAGACAGGCACACTCCCGGGGCCAGCTGTCCCTCCCTGTGGCTCACAGCATCTATTGGAGGCAAGGTGAACAGATTAGCCCTGGATATTAAACTTGTGTCTAACAGGTCTTCTCAGGTGCGAGTCCGAGTGCCTTAGCCTGGTCGCCAGGCAAAGGCCTCTGAGGGGTGACTCAGGCCTGGAGGGCCTGTCCCCTCACTTCTGCCAACGGCTCTTTGTATGACCAGGGGGACCAGATTCCCAAAGGTCAGTGAGCTTACATTTCTCAAATCCCTTCCTCATCTCCTCTGCTGCCTCCTCTACTGCCCCAAAAATGCAAGAAGGCAGGAGGATTAAGGTGGCTGCAAAGGTCCAGAAAGCAATGAGAGATTCCACAGGTGGGGCAGACTGTCTTTCACTTTGCCTGCCGGCCTCTGGCCTCCCCTCCGACCCACCCAAAGCAAAGAATGGGGGGCACCTGTCCTATCCCAGCTGATCCCAGAAAACAGGTCAGAAAGCAGGTGGCATCCAAAGAGAAGCCACCTCCGAGCCTGTGCGCACCAGCTCTGAGCTCGCTCCCTGGACTTCCCTTCACCTTCCTGCTCCCTCCATGCCAAAGGCCCCCACTGTCATCGGGCTGTTAAAGACATGCCAGGATCTAGCCTGAGAGCTGGACTGGAAGGGCTATTCGAAGCCTTCGCTCTCTCCTCTCTTTTTGTTTTGGCACGACCCAAACACCTTCCCGGTTACCCAGTAAGAGGGCATTCTCTAACACGGCAGACCCAGAAATTAGTTCCCTCAAAGTGACCAGAAGCAGCATCGCAAAAGCCCCACACAACCCACTCATAGGTGACCAGAAACAATAAGTTGCTCCAAATTAATTTGATCACCATGATGATATCCCCAGTAAGATCAGGAAGGATTCTTTTCTTTTCTTTTTAGAGACAGGGTCTCGCTCTGTCACACAGGCTGGAGTGCAGTGGTGTGATTATAGCGCACTGTAACCTTGAACTCCTGGGCCCAGCGATCCTCCTGCCTCAGCCTCCTGAATAGCCAGGGCCACAGGTGCACACCACACTCAACTAATGATTAATTTTTTGTAGAGACAGGGTCTCCCTTGTGTTGCCCACACTGGTCTTGAACTCCTCCTGGCCTCAAGTGATCCTCCCACCTTGGCCTCCCAAAGTGCTGGGATTACAGGCATGGGCCACCTTGCCCAGCCAGGAAGGATCCTCTCTTTCTTTTCCTAAAACACATTTAAGGGTTGCTCCTGAAATGAGTGCTCAAAGCAAACAGAGACACCATCCCTGCAATTCAAGAAAAACGCCGAAAAACACCAAAAAACACATCTGTGCACACGCATGCGCGCGCGCGCGTGTGTGTGTATATACGCACACGCACAAGTGTACATGCATGCTGATCAGGGGCTCTTCAAAGAGGCTATCTGAGACCAGACTGCCGACATTCACAGAGAGGGCAGTGTGAATGCAGCCACCGCTGAAAAGGGAAATAATATTCGGTAAAACATAATGGAGAAAACTAGAAAACGGCCTCTACTTATTCTCTGTCTGCAAGGAATTTGAAGCAGCTTACAAAGAGAATCAATAGGGTAAAACCGTGATAAAACAGCAAGAAAAAAAAGAAAAAGGACCACAGAGACATTGAAAGAAAAGAGAAAAGCCAGATTCAAGAGCAGCTGGAGTAAGCAGGACTAAAGGACTTCACAGCTGAGCTGTAAATATGACAGCAAAAGAGGAAGGATCTGGCCGGGCGCAGTGGCTCACGCCTGTAATCCTAGCACTCCAGGAGGCCGAGTGGGGAGGATCACTTGAGCTCAGGAGTTTGAGACCAGCCTGAACAAGAGTGAGACCCTGTCTCTATTAAAAATAGAAAAAATTAGCAAGAAAACTAAAAATAGAAATAAAAAATTAGCCGGGCATGGTGGCTCGCACCTGTAGTCCCAGCTACTCGGGAGGTTGAGGCAGGAGGATCGCTTGAGCCCAGGAGTTTGAGGTTGCTGTGAGCTAGGCTGACGCCATGGCACTCACTTTAGCCCGGGCAACAAAGCGAGACTCTGTCTCAAAAAAAAAAAAAGAGGAAGGCTCTGACACCTGTTTTATAATGTCCACTGTGAGAAACAGGGAAGCACACTGAATCCCACAGGGGAAAGGCAGCCCTTTCAAGCATAAAGCTGCAAAAGAAGGATCTCACAAAAACACTTCCCATGCAAGGAGGTGGGAAGGAGAGGAGGGCTGCCTGAGGGACATGTTTATCGGTGTCTTCAAGAACATTCCTGTATGCCCACTGCATTCCACAGCTACCCAAAAAATCTACTGTGACAGAGGGCAACAAGCTTTTTCTGCAAATACATCACGCTCTGCAGGCCATATAGGCTCTGCTACAAAAGCACCCATAAACAACATATGAATAGGTATGGCTGTGTTCCAATAAAACTTTATTTGCAAACACAGGTAGGGGGCCAGATGTGGCCTGAAAGCTGTAAAATTTGCCATCTCCTGTACTAGTCCAGTGATGGTTAACCCCGGCTGCACAGTGAATTTGCCCATAGTGCTTAAGAAAATCCTGATGCCTGGGCCCCGCTGTCAGAGATTCTGACTTAATTGGCCTGGGGGAAGACCTGGGTATCTGCCATTTACAAACTCCCCAGGTGATTCTAATTGGCAGGTAAGGTTGCGAACCCCTGTATTAGACCAATCTTCTAGTTAAGAAAACTCAAACTTGCCTTAACTCCTGTGTGTCTGTGTTCGTCGTATCACCCTTATAAAACTTAGGATTCATGAAGACACAGACCTCGCTACGATAATTAAGCTCTGTGTGTGTGTGTGTGTGTCTGTCTGTCTGTCTATGTATGTCTACAGTAAATGCTGCCCCTTAAACTTTAGCCTAAAAAGACTGAACTCTGGAATATTCATAACCAAGAAGAATGCAAAGAAGGTAAAGCCCCCTCATTTTACAAAATAAGGTTTCTCTGCTCAGTGGACTACCATTATGTTCATTTTTGTTAGAATAAACCACCAAATGCCCAGAGGCCAGGACCAGGCCCCGGGAGAAGACCTTCAGGAGTTCAGTCAAATGTAATTATCTTTCTCAAAACTTTCAGTGCATTTTGACTTTCCTCTCCTCCGCAGGGAGAAAAAGAAGAACTTCGCTTTCTCATTTAGCTCATAGTAGCTTATCAGGACTTCTTCCACCCCTGCCCTTCTATATCGGGAATATCTTCAGAATGCACCCTTGCTGCCAACATTTTGAACTTTTCAGCTGATATGAAGACAGCTTAGGCTATAAATGGAAACAAGGGATAAAAAAAATACCCACGCTAGAGAAAGAGGCACGATCTTACATTTCTGGAGGCAACATAAATCAGAACCACCTCTTTCGAGGGCAATTTGGCAATACCTCTCAAAATGTCAACCGCACATGGCCTCTGACCCTCGTTCCGCTTCTAGGAAGCCATCCGAGGGACACCCTCCAACGTGGGCCAAAGCGCCCTGATTGCAGCTGTTTTCAACAGCAAAAATAGAAAACAAGCTAGAGTCAATCAATAAGGTGCCTGAATAAATGTTACAGTTTACCTTTAAATGGAATTAATAAGGCTGCTAAAATAAGAGTAAGGCAGATTTCTACGTGTTGATATGAAAAGCCAACCTATCTAATGAAAAAGCAACAATCGGTAGAGCACTTTAGCACTGGTGTAGGGGAGAAAAGAAGGAAATGGAATATGAATATTACGTATTCTCAAGGTTTCTCAACATTGTCACTATGAACATTTAGGGCCCGGAGAAGTCTTTGTTGTGGGCACGGAGTGGGAGCCGGGGTGGGGGAGCTGCCCCGTGTGTCATAGGACGTTCAGCAGCATCTGCAGCCTCTACCCACTAGATGCCAGTAGCACCCACATCCCAGGTGTGATGACAAAAATGTCACCAGACATTGCCAAATGTCACATGGGGGACAAAAATCACCCAGGCTGAGAACCAATGGTATATCTCTAAAAGAGGTCTCTGGGGCAACGAAAACAGGCAGCAATGGTCACCTGTGGGGAGGGAGCATAGAGGCAGGTGATCCATCAGAGGTATGGACAGGCTGGTTTTTCATAAAATGTGCTTCTATACTGTGAAATTTCTCCTACATGGCAGGGCACGGTGGCTAACACCTGTAATCCTAGCACTCTGGGAGGCTAAGGCAGGAGGATCACTTGAGCTCAGGAGTTCAAGATCAGCCTGAGCAAAAGCAAGACTCTCTCTCCACTAAAAATAGAAAAAAATTAGCCAGGCGTGGTGGCACATGCCTGTAGTCCCAGCTACTCGGGAGGCTGAGGCAGGAGGATCGCTTGAGCCCAGGAGTTTGAGGTTCTGGACTGACGCCGCGGCACTCTAGCCTGGGCAACAGAGCGAGACTCTGTCTCAAAAAAAAAAAAAAAAAAAAAAAAAAAATAGCGAGAGATCTCCTTTGTTCTAAAAGGACAGGCACTTCAGGGACTGCCAGGAGCCACAAAATGGCAGTTCCTTCAGCGAACAACATCATTCAGATGAAAGACCCCGGCAGATGCCATCTATCAATCAAAGCCAGGCAGAGATCTTCCCGCCTCGTTCACTGTAAAGAAAAGCAAGACGACATCTGGAAAGCCTGGGCCCCAGCGCTGCATTCGTGCTCTCCAAGAGTGCCCGACTTCCAAGGTACTGCTTTATGCACAGAAAGGAGGCCTCGTGTCAGTGCAGCGGAGAAACAAACAAGCAGAGTGCTCTGGGTTTGACAACTTTCCCCCGCTCTGCTGGCATCTTCACCAGAGCATCGAGGCACATTTTTGTCACTAACAGGACTCCCGGTGTGTTCAGCCCAACGTAAACACCTTCTGCGAGATAAGAGGAGATGGGATTACCGAGAAAGCAAACAGGAGTCTAGAAGAAGAAAAGAATCAGGCCCTCCTCTTCTCTTCCAGCCTCAGAAACACATTTCTGTTTATGACTTATTTATAATCGCCACTGAGTCCCAGAAGGGGCCCGTGACAACCCACTGGGGCTCAGCTCCTCATCTTGGAGAGGAGACAGCAATGAGAGGAATGATGCGTTAGCAACAGGGCGAGAACCAGGTCTCTGCATGGTCTTCCCCTCGTGCATGAATGGTTAGACAGTCAGATGACCATACTTAAGAGCAGTCGAGTAAACTACAAATGACCCACGGACTGGTTTTTGTATTTTTGGTTGCATTGTTTGTTTGGCCCAAGTAGAGTTTTTGGTTTGTGTTTTTAATGAAATGGATTGCCAACTGTAAAAAAAAAAAAAAAACAGGAGAATTCACATAAAAATCTGGATTTCTGTTTTTCTTGAAAATTCAAGGTCTGACAAGTTAAACTAGGAAGAGCTACTTCTTTTAGAAAGGCACTCTGTCCTCCATGTTCTTGCCAATTCCAAATCTTCACTTACCTCCAACCCCTACAGCCGGGCTGCCTTATCCAACAGGCACAGGAGACGCTGCCCAGGGCCATGAAAGTCAGACCACAGCCCTGTTTTATAACACTGCATTGGGGTATCTCCACTAAGAGCTCAAGCTCTGCAGCAGACAAACGTGATCCTAAAGGCCAAACTCCACCAGGAACCGCGTGTGATCTTGGGTAGGTGACTATGCTTCTCTGTACCTCCGTTTACACTTCTGTGAAATAGGGCTATTACCTCCTTTAAAAGTTGTTGTAATTTTTTTAATAGTGTTAATTTACAGAAAGTAAAATTCATTTTGAGGGGGAATACAGTTCTGTGAGTTATAACACCTGCAGAGATTCATGTAACCACCGCCACAAACAGAATGCAGAACTATCCCACCTCCCGAAGAATACCCTCCTGGTTTGTAGACAAACCCTCCTCCACTCCAACCCCTGCCAATCACTGATCTGTTCCATCTCTAGAAATTTGCCTTTTCCAGTGTTTTGTTTTGTTTTTTTAATGAAATCCTATTTTGCTAGATACAATAATTTCATCATTTGTGCCTGGCACTCACTATCTATTCCATCTGCTCAAGGTAGTTAGTTGCTCGGATGACAGACACAATCAAGCCCCATAAAGCATGTGCCCAGTCCCTGGGAAACTGCTGGAGAATTCTTTGGCATTTCCCTCCACGTTCTGACTTTTCTGCCCACCCACAGTACTTCCGTCAGTCCCTAGCTGATCCTCTTCCCATTAGGTAACTGAAATCCCAACCCATAAAACGCCCACATTCCCAATGCTTTTGTTCCCGCTGATGAAGATGAGTACCGTGTCCCAGGACTGGAAGAGCTACCAGGGGAGACAGGACGAGACAGCCTCAGCCTCCTCCATGCCCACCCACCACTGCACCCACCCACCGGGACACACAACGGGAAGAAATCTTTCACGCCCGCAACGGCTCAAGCCAAATCGAAAGACCCACAGTGTCACGAGGATCCCCAGTGACCACCTGGTTTAGGGAGAGAGCTATTCTTGCCACGCATGACTGGCAGAGAGGAAATGTCACCATGAGAACACCTCCGCACAGGGTTTCTTTTTGGGGTGTGGAAGTGGGAGGAGGGCGTGAGAAAGCAAACCACATTTTTGGGAACAAAGAATGTTCCCAAGGCAGCAAATGGGTCCCCTTTCATTTAAGTGAGGAACCAAACAGCCAATCTGAATTGGACCCCAAAAGCAACCACCCTGGCTGTCCTACTACACCTGGGCTGCACCAACAGGTGACCCAGGATGGAGACACAGGCCGAGCTCCAGCCCTGCTGCTGCCCTTGGCTCTGGAATCCTGGGCACCTCAAGCCTCCTCTCCAGACCTCAGTTTCTCCAACTGAAAATGCCACTGCAGGACAAGATGGGCCTGGAGGGTGCCCATCACCAAAGGCTGTGCAATTGACACGCAAGCCTCCCTGGGCTCTGGTGGCCACCTCCCTCCCTGAAACCCCCTACGCTGGAGGCCTCCTGGGCAACACACTTCCCTGGTGCAGCTCCCCTCACTCACTGCCCCTGCTCTGCCTGACCTCCACATGCTTACGGTCCAGGGCCCTTTCCTGAGGGCCTAGCCCTGACTCACAACCTCAGCAAGCCATAGGGGCTGGATCATGGGGCTGTGCGGGGCTGTCATGCGCACTACAGGATGCTTAGCAGCAACCCCAGCCTCCAACCGCTAGATGCGAGCAGCATGCAACTTCTTCCCCCCACCAAAGTCAGGAGAACTACTGCTGTCCCACAACTAGATTCCCGGAATTACACCGCCTGCCCTGCCCTGGCCTCAGGGCACCCTAATTCCTGCCTCCAACTGCCCTCCTGACCTCTCCAGCCAGGGTCTAACAGGCACCTGACACTTACAGAACCCAAACTAAACCTTTGGCTCCTACTTCTCCTGCCTCAGACAAACCATCAGCACAATCGCTAAAACCATCCAGTAATTCTGGGTTATGGGGCCTGTCCTATGCGCTGCAGGACGTGGGCAGCATCCCGGGCCTCTACCCACTAGATGCCAGTGGCACCCCCACCCCTCCAGTCCGGGTGCGACAACCAAAAATTTCTCCAGACACTGCGAGAAGTGCCTGGGTGGTAGTGGAGAGGGGTGTCACAAAATTGCCCCCAGATAAGAATAACTAACTGATAGGGACTATTCTCCACACAGCATGCAGAGTGGTCCTTCTGAAATGTGAAGTCCACCCACATCCCTCCTCTGCCGACCCCTCCATACCAGGGTCCATAAGACCCCTGTTCTCTCCCTCACTCCATGTAGGGCCTCCTCCCCTACTCACTGGGATGCAGCCACCTGGCCTCCTTGCTACTCCCTTAACACACCAAGTTAATCTTTAGCCTAGGGCCTTTAAAAATCTCTTATTCCTTCTAGAATGTTCTTCCTCCAGAGAGTGGCACTGCTGGGTTTTCTTATCATGCAAATCTCAGCTCAAATATCACCTCCTCAAAGAAGAGGCCCCTTAAGCCCTCCCCTACTAAGCGAACCACTACCTCTGCCCCAACCTGCCCGCCTCTCTCCTTATCACGTCAACATGCTTTCCCTTTGAGGAACCCATCACGGTGTGGACCCATCTTGCTTATTTACCTTGATTACTGTCACTGCCTCTCTGTAACCCAAGCTCCGCAAGAGCAGGGTCCTTAGCTGACTTGCTCTCCACGCCTAGAACAGCGCATAGCACATGCTCAATGAAAATCAGGAGTCATGATGGGATGAACCAATCAATAATCATCAATAATAACTTCATACTTGGTTGTTTAGCATTTCTGGTACCAATTTCTGCTTGAAGACTTTGGCCTAAGGTAGAGTTTTTTTTTTTTTTTTTTTTTTTTT